CTGTCTTCCATTTAGTGCGTTAGTTTGCTGACAGTAGAGTACACAGCACTTAGCAGCTGGTTTGTGAAACCATCAGTCAGGAAATTGTATGATAAATAGGAGGTAGCTGGGTTTAGTGGCACTTCCTTCTGCTTCAGCAGTTTTAACTAGAGTTTGGAAAAGTCATCATGCGGTGTTTTGTCAAAGGCCAGAACAGGAGATGGCTGTGGTGTGGTGACTTATTACACATATGTTTGAGTTATGATGCTCCACAGCTGCACTGCTCATGTGCAAATAATAAACTGTGAGGTGGATAATTATGGTGGCTGCTGGTGACATGGGCCTGTTCTTGTCATGCAGGTTTTTTGGGACAGTTTCTTGGTCCTGAGGTGGAATACGTGGCTGGCCTTCCACACAGAAACGACAAGCCAAGATGCAAGGAAAGCATTTGGTGTTTGAAGATTAAGCTTTTTTTCTTTTTCTTTGGATTAATGTCATGTGGTGCCACATATATTAAAAGGCATTTCCATTCTGCTTTTTAGTGTTTGTTTATACTAGTAAGCTATAGTAAAGTGTGTCTTTAATTGGAAGAGGTATTATTTTGTTGCATTTTCTCAGAAAATGGCTTAAGAGACGTGATCGTTACTGAAAACGGACATAAGGTATAATTGTATAGACTTCATTAATCTAAGAGAAGTCATTTTACACCGAATAAAGAGGGAAACAAATATAAACAGTAAAATTGTTCAACCAAAACCAGGGGTCTTTGGTCAAGTCAGATCATAACCATAAATTTATGTTGTTTATTTAACTTAATTCCATAGCGTATACATTTCCTTGGGACACTAGTAAACACTATTCAAAGAGTGCTATAAGATGTATCACAAACTGTCACTGAGAATTAACTTTTATACTCAGAAAACTCATACAACAGTGAGAAATGACTATAGTAATTGTGTTTTACTTTCCTCTCGCATGTTTTCACAATGCTTGGTAATCTTCTCTTTCATTCTGAAAGAAGGAGAGAGGGTGAGAGAGAGACAGTGAATTAAAATCCAGTTAGAATAATTTCTTAAGTGAAAAGATGGCAGCACCTTTAAATATCCATGATAGTATTAGAGGATTTTCTTGGGGAGTAGTGTTTTATAATGCTTAGGTATACTCCTGATTTTATAGGATTAACTGGTTGGTCTTTGCCCCTGTGTACATAATCAATGTACCTTTATTATAAATACTCATATAATAGATAATGATTGTAAGTTCATGAATCTTTGAGGCATATATTGAATATGAAATTAATCCACACATTTTGAGCTCTTTGTGTTTGAAAAATGTTGATTTGTGCTTTGTCACAATGCATAGGTACACTCACATAGGGAAAATCAGATACAGTTAATACCCACTTACTCAGTGGAGAGAATTTAATCGTGCAGAACATAGCCAACAGCAAAGAAGTAAGGAAATAAAAATATCTTCCACCTCTGATATAGTCACAGTTTACCTCAAAATGGCCACATAAAATGGTACATGGGAAAAGCGTTTCAGAGGAGGGTTAAACCTTATGAATGCTTGATTTACACAAAATTCTGGTGTGTTTTTCTTATTTCCAAGAGCAAATGGCATGTGTTAAATTTAAAGTCTGCTGGAGGCAAGCATGTTCACATGAGCAGCTGCTAAAAGGAAAGTAAGAGAAAGGAGAGCCATATATCCTGGCCATCTACTTGACTCTGGAATTGAATCTGGTACATTTAAGCCTATTTCAAGATTTAAAATCAGGAAACATTTGCTGAGTGTGTGTCAGACTTACAAACTAGTGAAAAAGATTACTCCATTTAATTTTATGTTGTTTTAAAATAAGTATGAATGATTTTTATTGAAAATGGTTAAATAAAGTAGGACATTTTGGCTTTACAGTATTACTGAGTTATGTGGATCACTGAATTTGACAACAGTGGTGGATAAGCTTTTAAACTTGGCATTACAATTATCCAGATTTCCATTACAAAAAAAAAAAAACTCTTGACATCTTTTAATATTACTGAGTCTTAAGTGATGCACTGAAAATATGATTGATATTTTTCAGATGGACTCTATAAATGTGTAAAGGTAGCAGAGCTGTCACCTGTTGAATTCCGGCATTATTACACATCATGCTATTACAGCTACAATGATAGGACAATACCAAGATGGTTGCCTTCCCCGCTTTATCTTACAACAAGCACAAAGTACCATGAGTAATTGGCATTTGCAGTACAATAATCTTTTTCCAGTCACAAAAGTTTTCTTGCTTTCTAAATCTGGTGGAGTCACAGTTTGAGTTCTATCTTTGCTATGTTAATAGTTTTTCATTCATTTTCCCCTCATAACTATATTATGAGATTCTTAAAGGGAGGGCAAAGTTTAAAACAAGAGAAATAAGATATAATTCTATTTACATTTATTTGAATTTTTTCATTTACAGTTTACATTCAATATTATTTTGTATTAGCTTCAGGTATACAGCATAGTTAGACATTCACATTCTTTACAAAGTGGTTCCCCCAATATATCAGGTACCCACCTGGCACTAAACATGGTTATTACAATGTTAATGACTTTTCCCCTATACTCTACATCCTTGTAACTATTCTTTAATTACCAATTTGTACTTCTTAATTCCTTCATCTTTTTCACTCAGCCCTCCAAACCTCCTCCCATCTGGCAACCGTCAGTCTCTTCTCTGCATATATGAGTCTGTTTCTATTATCTTTATTGATTTCATGTGAGGGTATTTAATGTCATAAAAAATAAAAAGAAGCCAGAGAAAGTCAAGTATCATATGATTTCCCTTATATATGGAACACAAAGGAAAAAATAAACACAATAGAAAAATATATAATTTTAAAAGTTTGTTTTATTTATATTCTAAGAGATGCTTACGAAGATTTAGAAAAAAGAGAAATATATAGGGGGGAAATGAATCACCTGAATTCACCACACATATACACATAATAATCCTCCAGTAGGATTTAAGGAACTTCCTAGTGGGGAATACTAGTTACACCCTTGTCTGTGTTTAGCACAGTAACCCCCCAGCCATATACCCTGCACAAGGTTCTGTGTTGTTTCTTGCAGCCATCACTCAGAACTTATGCTCAGTGCATTTCTAGGAATTGCCTGTACTTCCTGCTCCCCTCAGGTCTAGGCAGATCTTCAGACTTGTAGAAATGGCTCAAAGTCCTTCAGAGGCAGGTTGGTATATATATCAATTTTGGGGTTGCCGGTATATGAGCAGTAGCAGCATGATGGCTATGTGCAGGCTTGACCATGTGTGGAAGGTACTATTGAAGATCAAGTTTGGTTGTTTTCATAACATCATACTTAATAGCCGTGGAGGCACATTTCTAGGTTTTGAACTCTTTTATTTGGTCCTTGAAACTGGGGAAAAACTTTAGCGCCAGTTATAAAATAATACTCATGCTTTTAATGATAAAATATAGTGAATCACTATTTAAGAAAAAAAAGCATTTTCAGATTTTAAGAGTTAATCAGCATAAATTTCTACAAGTAAGCAGGGGTAGAGGAACTATTTTAAGCTAAGTGTGCACACGGGAACTCAGGAAATGGTCAACACCAGCCCGAGAAGAACAGGAGGGGAGGCTGGTCTGGGGCCAAGATGAATGTTAGGGCTGAAGGGTAGGAATTCCTCAGTTTGCCCCAGATCATGCCTTGTCAGTCCGAGAAAGTCAGCTTCTCTCCTGCAGCAAGGCCTCATAGCATTCATGCTGCCAAGCCATGCATTTGCTGCACCAGCGTTAGGACTATGGAGGCATAACCCAGGCCAAGAAGAAGGAAAGCATGCATTTAAATTATAAAAGATGTATGTTTCTTATGTGTATGTAGTGTATGTATGATGTGTGTGGTATGTGTGGTCTTTGTGATATGTGGTATGGTATTTGGGGTGTGTTGTTTGGTATGTGTTGTGTGTGGGCATGTTGGCATGTGGTATGGTATGTACATGTGGTGTGTTTGATATGGCATATGTTGTGTGGGAGGCATTTGTGTGTGGTATGGTATGTGTGTGAATGTGTGGTATAGGGCATGTGGGTGTTGGCATGTGTTGTGTATGTGGTGTGTCTGTGGGGTCTGGTATGTGGAAGCTATGTGTTGTTTGTGGTGTATATACATGGTATGTGGGATGAATGTGGGGTATGTGCTTGTATGTGGTGTGGTATGTATATGTAGACTATGGTGTGCATGTGTAGTGTGTTGGTGGAGTATATGGGGGCTATGTGTTGCGTGTTATGTGTGTATGTGGGATATGTGTGAGGTATGTGCTTAGTTATGGTGTATGGTTTGTATATGTAGACTGTGTATGCTGTGCATGTGTAGTATGTTTGTGTGGTACATGGGTGCTATGTGTTGTATGTGATGTGGTATTGGGGTGTGTGGGATATGTGGTGTGTGGTATTTGTATGCGAAGTATGTGTGTAGTGTGTTTGGTATGTGGGGTGTGGTGGACATGTGTAGTATGTTTGTAGGGTGTGGGTAGTATGCATTGTGTGTGATATATGTATTTAGGGTGTTTGTGTATGCTATAGATTCTAGCAGGGACTTTAGAAAGGACTTCTTCCCTTAAAAAACATCATGGGTATGGGAAAATGAAACTAGTTTTTATATTACATTTTGATCTAAAATGCTCGACAAAGTAATTTTTTTTAAAAGTGTCTTGTAATCTGTTCCTTTTGGATTTGTGACTCAGTCCTTTCATTCTGGCCAGCCTTTCTTTCAGGGTAGGCTCATATGTTTTCCCTTCTTACTTTCCTGTGTGGGTTTTGGTTGCTTTCTCAGGTGCAGCTGTTAGTGATTTGGTCATTCTTCTGCAGTACCTCGCGAAGCTCCATAATGAACTTTAAAGAGTTCTAGCACAATTTATTAAAGTAGGTTCCGCCTAAGTCATGAAGACAGTATAGCAATGTTGCTTCATGAATTAATTCTGTTCCAAAGTGTTCCTTTTATACAGATTGGACTTTCTTTTTCAGACCCTCCTCACCTGTTTCCCGCATTCCATCCTCCTGTGCCAATCGATGCAAGACATCATGAGGGGCGTTACCATTACGACCCATCTCCAATTCCTCCATTGCATGTGTAAGTATTAAAACTTGACCTAGTAATGAAACAAAACAAAATACCAGCTCTTACTGTCTCAGGACTTTTTGTTTCAAACATGGCTATTATGTATTGAAGATGTGAGCGAAATACAGGGTTTACTTTTGAAATACAGCAAGCCTATCTATACCTGGACCCACTGAAACAAATTGCCAACACTTCCTGAAAAATGCCCGTCATACTAGGAGGCTGGTAAGTCTTCCTATATATTTTGCTGACATGTGTTCTGTGGGCTGTAAGTACTAAATTAAAACATAGAGGACTAATGGAAGGTTACCATACAAAATACGTATTTGCTTTAGAATGAATGTGAAGTTTTTGGTGCCAAACTTTTTGTTATGTCAAAGTCCTGTCCTAGGTATCACATGAATTGTAATGAAATTTCTATGGTAAATTTTCATAGCCCCTGTGGTGTGTACTCCAATAGTTATTTGATTGATGAGAATGTCACCCAAACAAAATGGCAAGTGTGATTGAGGACTTAAAGATAAAAGGAAAGAATGGTGTTGATAACATATATTAGAAAAGGAAAAAGAAAATCTTGTGGAAATAAATATTATCTTACTCAGTTTTTGTGAAAAAGAATAGTGGACTTGCGAACTAAAATATTTGTATGTATGCCTGTGTCTGTGTGTATTTGTAGTATTGTTCAGAAAACTGTCATATTCTATAATAACTAGAACCACTTACTGAGAAGGGCTGCCCCTTACAAATGGATACACACACACACACATTTAGTCATATCTAGTAATCACCCTTCATTCTGAGACAGTAAAGCGAGAAAAGTATAAATAATACTTTGAAGAATAATGCTGGTTATTTAGATGGTAGATTGCATCTCCATGGCTATTAGTTATAGCTGTGTAATTACATATATGCCAAAGAAAAATGAAGTTGTTCTAAAACAGGTCCTCCTCTGTGAACAGAATTAATTGATATTAATAACCCTAACTACATGCCCAAGTACACATATAATATTTTACCAACAGTTTTTTGGATCCATCTTCCATTACTAAATTGTAATTTCAGAGCAAATTTGCCTGGAGGTAAGTAATAAATCTGTGTTGCAAACTTCTATAAAAACTATAGGAGAAGTGGGTATTTATAGAGAGAGAGAGATACAGAAACTTGTAACTTATTTTCTCACTTTTCACTGGAACGCAAGTATTTCCAGGGTTCTAAAGCCTGCTAAAAATATACTCAAATAAACCAAGGGGGAAGGAAATTCCAAATTCTTGCTTAAACTTGCAATGTAATTCACCCATTACACAGAGGTTTTGCATGGCTGATTCTCTCAGATTCCATGTGGTGATGTAGTTAATTTAAATCAGTTTTTTAATGGAATTTCGAGAGTTTTTCACTCTTTCAAAGTCATGTTAGAGAAATTTCAAAAAAATGATTTTATGTGATTGAAGAACTAGTGCCTCTGGGTTCATTATATTGTTTGCCTTATAATTAAATTCAAATATGAATTTATTTGTAAAAATCTCAAGTATTTGGTTCTTTTTGGCAGAATTTAACAATAGCAAGCCCTAATAGAGTCCACACAATGTGTCTTAGTCCCTGATTGCTGTGCCTGTAGTATTAGTTCGCTAGTGATAAAAATACCACAAGATAATTTGAATTTGGAGAATCCTGGGGCGAGGGGCTGCATTTCAGATAGGACTGTTGAGCTAGGATTTTTACAGTTTTTAGTGCTTGCTGCGTTTCCAGCCAAGCTTTAGGATACTTTAGCAAAGTTGACTAAATTGTCCTCCAAAGATTCATAATGTAAGGCTTATAGATAATACCGAGCCTCAAAAGAGTACCGGAAGCCCTGGCTGGTGTAGCTCAGTGGATTGAGCACGGGCCTGTAAACCAAAAGATCGAGGTTTGATTCCCAGTCAGGGCATGTGCCTGGGTTGCAGGCCAGTTCCCAGCAGGGGATGCACCAGAAGCAACCATACATTGATATTTCTCTCCTTCTCTTCCCTTCTAAAAATAAATAAATAAAAATTTAAAAAAAAAGAGTACTGGAAGATTCTGAGGTGAAATGTCACTCTGGGCACAGAGTGTGGTGAGAGTGGGTGTCTGTGAGGGTGTCTGTGACCTAGCAGGGTCCTGTCTGGAGACACTGAGTTGATAAAGAAGGCTCTGAGAACCAGCAGAAGCCACCCCTCTGTGCCTTTATAACATGCTGTTTTCTCTGCATTGCCCTCAGTGATCTTCTGACTCTTTATGGCAAGGTCCTGTTTAAACTCTTCAACCCTTAAAACCTCACCTTTGCTGGCTGGCTGTTCCTCAAAGTATCTTGTGTGTGCCTTTATTGTACTGAGGTTATTGTAGTGGGGTCTTGCCTGGTTATTTATTGTTTAGTGGTCATCACCTCTGTTAGTTTTGGGGACAGCGCCCAGCATTTGTCCAGGCTCTTTGTAGAAGGTGTTTGGGGGATACCCAAGTTGTCCAGTATGGTAGACAGTGGACAAGCAGTCACAGAGCTGGAATCACATTATTGAATTCCAAAATTCTTGCCACATAATTATATTACAGAAAATGAGATCTAAGCTTTTACAATAAATGTTTTTAATTATAGGAAGACAAAATTTGTGGGTATTCTGATTATTTAGTATACATAATTGTTCTGGTGCTAACTTTAAAGATTAAATCATAAGTCTTGAAAACAGGATTTATGTTGACAATGGAAATGCTCACAGATCTTTGGAAGGATGGTAGGCACTGCAATCATGGTATCATATATTATCATTAAAGATTCTGTTGAAAGGTTTATAAATTGATCTTATTTTTAGATAAACCACCTTGTATTAAGGCATCAATGATACAGTGCAGAATTAAATTAAAATCTCATAAAATGAAATATGTTCTTTATTAGCTGTTTGACACTTAATTTGCCTCTGAATGAGTCAAGGAAATCACAAATTAACCTGCCTTTGTTTTTTCAACCATGGCTTATTAGATGTTAGAATAACTGCAGTTACAGCCTAATAATAGCCATGAAGCCTTATAAATATGTGCAGAAATATGTCAGTTTATGTTAAAGAGCCCAGTGTGTTAAACAGAATGCCTTTAGATTACCCTACTTATTCTCAGCGTTATTCCACGATTTATGGTTAGGCAGTGTAGATAAGAGTATAGAATCTTAATTTTCCTCAAATATAGTACTGACAATAATATTGAAATTTATTAGTGTTTCCTTTCTTAACTAAAATTATTCATTGAGATCCAGAATTGATAAGTAGGACAGGGAGTATTGTCTTTCTCTGAGCTGTCACATGAAGATTGTCACGTAAAATATATACTTCCTGCATTGCTTATTTATTTAATTCAAGCAATTTGAATATTTATACACTTTACATGAGGAACTTTTCCTTTTTTCCTGAAAGTTATTCTCTACTGAAGTCATCAGGACTTATGCTCTCTCGAATAATTTGCTTTGACTACATATTTGATGTTTTATTGAGCCATATAGAAAATATATTAGTGTTTTAGAAAAATATCATTGAATACATTTTATTATATTTCTGAGATTATTTGGAGCCTTAATGACAAAACAAATCTATATTCACATAGTCTAGGCAGTAATTTTATGCGAATATTTTTCCTTGTTGGTGGTCTTCTCTATATTTCATACTTTGCATTGTTTATTCGCATAGCTTCAGGAGGCAGTATTTTATTCTATGGGAATGGGTGATGCTGTAGGCTAAAAATTACTATCTGTTTTAAAATTTCACTTGGAAATTTAGACAGTTAAAATATTATAACCTCCTTTCCCAGAATACACTGTATTTTCAAGTGACCACTTTCACACTAATGAAGAAAGGATTCTTTCTTTTGCATTTTGAGTATGTGTTTGTGTTTAAAATTTAGTGTTTGAACTGATATAAACATGCTTCTTCTTAAAAAACAGATATAGTATATTTGTAAAGACCTAAAATAAAGTTGTAAATTCAACATTTATTTGGGATTTTCACTTGGGAAAAATTTTTTACATACAACTTTTTAGAGGCAAAGTTTTCTCATTTATGGACCAATATGAATTGAATTTTGGAATGTCTGTTTTCTTCATATGAGCTCTCCAATTCATTTTGCGAAGCAAGCTCCTTAGTTACTAATCCATTATAGTAATTCAAGCCCCACATACCTTGCCAGTTGAGCTGAGAGCTGCCCTCATCTCATGCTGTGGATGTGAACAGTACTGTATCCTAAGCTGCAGGTGAAGCTAGCACTCACAGGCAGCTGGCACATGTCACCATCCACTGTACTAATTCATTGTATAAAACCAGCTTCATCTTTTTTCTCTTAGAGGAATGGCATTCATGTTCTATTCTACTTGGCAGCTCTTTCTTTCTCTAGTTGAGTCAATGTGGTTCTTTCCAAGGCTGCCTGACTTACTGAAATTATTCTACCTAAGTAAGAAGAGCTGTTCTTCCTGGTAAAAGTGGTTCACTTCTTGGCTCCTGGGGAGAAGAAGACTTAGTTCACAGTAGATCATTAATATTAGCTGTGAAATAGAGTGCATTGGAAATAGTAAGGCTTCTCCCCCATGATTATGACTGCCTTTTGGAAATAAGAGCAGAGAGATGAGTGACAAGTTTGGATTATGAATAAATATATTTTTTTCCAGAGAGAAAAAGCTTTAAGAAAAGATGTATCATTATGGTAAAAGCTTAGAGAAAGAAAGGGTAAGTAGATGACCAGGACTACTATTCAGTTTCCTCCCTTTTTTTTTCTTCCTTCCCTGGATCCAGCATCTTGCATGTACTAGGTTCTATGCTTATTGGGAGCTCATATAATATATTCAAAGGCAGCCTTCAATCCAGCCACCCACTTAAAACTTTGTGATGGTCTCATAATGCATAATAGTGATATAGTGATTTCTCTCATTTCATTCCCAGAGAAGCCTCCAGTAAAATGCAGAGATGAGCAGAATCTTGCATTTGTATTTGGGAGCATAATTAGTTTGGAATATTTTAACTAAAATT